TCGCCGGAAGTGGCTTCGGTCTGTCCTGAAAAATATCGAGCCGTGCTTCGCTCGAATGTATTTTCAATGTCGAGCTGAAACATTTTACGAAAATCTCATTTTTCAACAAAATATACGATTATTTTTATTCTATTTTTCTATTGTATTATGTAAACGTTCAGTGAGTCACTTCACACGATCGTAAAGTATTGTCGTCGCTTTTTTATTGTTTATGTGTTTGTTTTAGAGAAGCAATTGTCACGTTTGTTTTTAACGACGAGCTATGACACGCTAATATCTTATCTCGGCGGTATATCGATCTTGCATTTTTTCTTTTTTTAATACTTTCTGCAACTGGTTGCCATATGTCATTCGCGACACACACGCGACATTGTTTTATGTGGCTGTAAAAGGCATACGGAGCAACCAGTGGTTCTCACCCATTATTATTTTGCATCGAAACGCTGATATTAATTAGAAGCATTGACTGCAACCGATAGAATTTATTTTTTTAATGTAAAAATATTTTTGTTCCACATTTATGATTCTCTAAATTTGGGCACAATTTCTACAAAATAGGGAGGTGGTGTAGAAAAAATCGACAAGTTGACATGTCCTGGTCGAAAGATCATGGAAGCGTGTATAATAAAAGTACCCGCACAGTGAAATAATTTTTTCGTAAATGATTCTTATTGTTAGATATAAATTGCACTCGCATCCCAAGATGCGACAACGCAATATATATAATTTAATATATATTAAGTTTTCTCAATTTAATTCAAACTACATGTATTTAATTCAGCTTCTATTAATCGATATTCTCTTTTAATCCATTTAAACTTATTTAGTCTTCTCTTTATGAACATCAGTGCTATCCGACATTCACGGTCACCAATTAAATAGAAAATCCAATTAATACAATATTAATAAAATCCAATTAATGTGATATCGGAGATAAAACGATGTCGAAGGCATTTTACGTTTTCTTTTATATTGATCCCGTTTATTTTAAATGCGATCAAATATTGATAGTTTGACTAGATTCCTTGCGTTATAAACTATGTTTACGATCCACCACGAGGGAGAACTAATGAGCGTAATAAGTAATCAAACATCGTGCAAGAGTTCCACGGAATCGACGTGTTATTCGCTGAAAAACGGTAAGATCAGCCAAAGAGATTATCCCGTTGCGTTCACCGCAATTATTTTTTATCATTATCCGAACCGTCATTGAAAGATGCAACAAGATAAGAATTATAACCTGTACCTTTAAAGTTGTAATAAAATTTATTATTTTTAAAATAAATTTAAAAAGTTCGATATTTAATTAAGATTAATTTTTTTGCTAAGAAATAAAATTTTTGACATTTCTCTGACATTTTGAAGATTTTTCATGAATGAACGAAAAATAGGAAATATGTAAAGAATTTTTAAAAAATTGAGAAAATAAAGGATGTGCACGCGAAGATCGACTGCAGGAAGATTACGTATACATTGGGGAAACCGCGATAAGAATAAGCCAGTGTGCGATACCTGTGATAAGGAGTGACGTAATCGTCCGACAGGACGTTCGTATTCACGTAAAACCGGAATTTTGCGGTCGGTCTACAAGTATTTATTAACGTAGGCAATAACACAATACTCGTTTCCCTGGATAATTTTCCCTGCGTTTATCGCGAAACAGTAGGCATTTGCGCGTTACATCGCTATATAATGAGTAGTTTCCAGGTTTTTTCCTTCTTGAATGAAAAACCAGGTTTTAGGAAACCATGGCGGCGTCTCGAAATCACAACTTTGTAATATCATTCACGATCTTTCATTCCATATGCATTCTACGATTGGATCGATATACGTGAAATATTATATATACGAATTCTTTTTTATAATTATTGTTACTTTTATTTACGTCATTGTTGCATTGTATTTTCTTCTTTCGATTTTTTATTAATTATTATCTATTCTAAACTTCTTTTTATTTTTTTCAAATATTTTATACCATATATTTATTTATATCTTATACATACATATTTTGGCAAACATTTTCGTTGCACTTTTCCTTTTTTTGATCGTTTTATTTTATTTTATTTTATTATATTATATTATTTTTTATTATTTTATAATATTTATTTTATTTTATTTTATTTATTTATCGTTTTATTATTTTTGTTTAGCAACCACGGTTGCTGAAAATTTGTCTTTCCGTCAAAAGTAGGGCGATTTCGATAGCGAATATAACGTCAATCGTGAACTTGTCACGATAAAGTACACGTGCGGGCAGGATCGATCGCGAAATCCAGGTGCTCACCTTTGTTCCGTTATCGTTATCGTCGTTGTAGTAGAACGAAGAAGGACTGTCAGCACAATGTTTTTATCGAAGCTGGATATCGAGTCAAGTGATGATGTCATCATCGTCATTGGCTTGATTTTAATGTCGACTAACAGATCAAACCGATGTGAGATCAATTTTTCACAGGTGTCACACATTGACTTATTCTTATCATCGGTTTTCTCTACATATTTTTCTGTGTATAATCCATCTTCGAATTTTTTATTTAAACAATTTTTTAAATTGTTTGTATAAGGTACCTTCTATACTTTTCATTTAATTACGAAAAATCAGAAATGTCAACAATTTTGCTTTTCACCTAAAATCAAGATTAAATAATAGATTTTTTAAAAATTTATTTGAAAATAATAAATTTTATTAAGACAACATTGAAGGATTTATCGTCAATTGGGTGAACGACTTCCTCGCGATTTACGTCAGTGTATAATCTCTTGCGTGTCGCAAACGAAGAATTAGTGGAATTAAGGTCAACGTGAATTAAACTTGCAATTGCCTTCACCATCGACCTCAATGGATGTCGGATTTCCGGAAGCTCGGAAAAACCCCGAGTTGATTTCAATCTAAGTGGACACGAATTGTTAAAGCAAGTATAGTTGTGCTTTTCTTTTTTATTAATTTCCCGAATTTTTCAGAACTGCGGAAGAAACGCGTTCACGATTTCAGTCATTTTTCTCAATATATCGTTCACGCAATAGAGACATGTTACATATTTCAGAAGCTTCAACTCGTCACCTAAAACCTAGACCTAGAAGACGAGTATTGAATACTCGGTGATAACGATGTTAGCGTTGCTCAGCTACTATCTGTAAACTGATAACCACAAGTTTCTAAGGTAACCGAGTTAATAAATCGATAGGGCGTTAGAAGGGAGCAAGGGAGAAAGGGATCAACTCGATTAATCTTGAAAGGGTTTCAGGTACCAGGTACCAGTCTCGGAACGCGAAGAAGGAGAGACCAAAATTGGACGATGTTAGACGCAAGGAAAATAACTGGAATTATGAAAAAGTGGATATTGGAGGAAATAATAAAATGGTGAAAAAATTGGAGAGAGATCAATTCGAATGCGCTCGAAGGTGGTTTTCCGAGCGAGGGAACCTGAAAGAGCCTCGACAAAACGGCAATCATTAAGTCGGCAATTGCACAATCTAAGAGCTGTGGGAGACCAGGCGCCGACCTGTAGAATCTCGTTTTCTAGGACAATTGCCATTCCCGCGCCACGATCTCGCATTTATCGAGGCAAGATCAAGAACGGCTGCGATAACATTCCAACGACAACGACAGTTTAGGTCGTCGCGAGCAAGGGTGACAACCGCAAATACGCATATAGGACGTCCCGAAACAATCAGCGCAACCCTTTCATCTAAAATAGTCCTCAACAAATTAGAAAAAAATTCCACGATAGTCTTAATAAAAATATATCTGTAGATGTAAATGTTTCAAAAATATATATGGCGAAATATTTTTTAATATATTGGATCGGGATAAAGGATGTCTCGAAACAATCAGCGCAACCCTTTCCTCTAAAATAGTCTTGAGCAATTGGAAAAAAGATGGTTTTAATAAAAATATATCTGCAAATGTAAATATATTTAAAAAATATGGCGAAATATTATTTTCAAAAGGGTCTAAAAGAAAGTTAGTCCGAAAAAATGAGAAAACATAAATATGATGTGATAATCTTAATAAAAATCTATCCGCAAATGTGTTTGAAAAATATGAGGAAATATGAATTTCCTCTGAAAAGGATACCTAACAAAGAGATGTAGAAAATGGAGAAAACACAAATGTATTGATCGGGGATAAAGAGTATCTGTCGAACAAAGGATGCGGAGTGTTAAATGTAAGTCAGCTGAGCGGAGGCCAGCACGAAACTCGCGTTTTATCCGAGAAGGGACACGTTTCGTTCACGTTTACATTACGTACGGCGGTCCCCATCGGTGGTCCTACCTGTTTCCGTCTGGGCACGACGATGGACCGACCACGTAAGACGAATACACACGCACACTCGCGCTACGTGGGGCAGACTTTGCATCTCTTTTCCACCTTCGTTCCATACCTGCTTTTCTTACTTTCTCTCTTCTCCCCGCCTGCCAACTTGCTCCAGGATCGGATTTGTCAATTAGCGTTTAACTTCTCGATTCTCAACGACACGTAATCGAGATATTCCGTCAAATGTTTGTATCATTTATGTATCAAATATAATTTCTACATATGCGTATATAATTTCATACATTTGTACAATTTAATCTTATACATCTAATCTTATCTGACACACGTTGATTTGATCAAAACGCTGATTTGGAATTGTCTTTGTCGAACTTGCTTGCAATAATTAAATGTGTTATTGCGGTGTAAAAGCAGGAGCAGAATAGCTTCTCGTCTCTATTATAATCTACATACAATAACAACACTGTCGTAAAGTCTCTCGCATACTTTTGTCATCTTCAAGGTCGCATATCATCAAAGGTGCAAAGAGCACCTAGAGAGAAACTATTACCTAGAAAAACGAAATTAACTACAAACCCAAGCGGCCTAGTCTCCAAATCTATGCTGAATTCAGAGTCGGAGAGTCACGAGTCGAAGACTCGAGCTCTGAATTGCTTTGAAAATCCGAGCCTGAGTGGCAATAGTTCTCCCTTCTCCGTTCGCTGGTGGCTCGGTGGCTCGGCACCGAGTGTTCGCCGACCAGTCGGAGTCGGTCCGTGGCCTAAGCTCGTACGTGTTCCAGGTGTTGGTCGTCAGGTTCCTCTCTCGGGTGTCCTGTTCGTCCAGCTCGCGAGCCGTCTCCGAAATTGAGGGAATCCTATTTTGTACATATACGAGCGTGTTCCGCACGCTCGCGCAAACGAGCCCGCGTCTTCAAACTAGTCGGCTGCTCGCCGGGCCCCGAGGGGGCCCGAACGAAGAGCCCCCAGCACGCGGAATGCTGCCGTGCGACCAGGTGAAATTCGGCCGCGCCGTTGTGGTCGTATGCGTCATCCAGAGCGATGTGAAATTCCTCGCCAGTTCGCTCAAGTTCGTTAAAGGTGTCCCCAAACTAACGCGAAGAGGAGGAGTTTGAGAAGGTAAAGACTCCGAGGCAAATGTCTGCTTCTAACGAATATATAGATATTTATATAGTTTAAAGAGAGATAAGGGATTTAAATGAATTCGGAAATCGAGTCATGTAAAAGCTGAATATTATATATTTCCAGACTCTGTATAGTAAACCTTGAAAGATGAAGAAGCAGGGTTTTTATTTCCTGAAAATAATTTCTTAATTGATTGATTTGGAGAGTTGATGAAAAATCTCCTTGTCTTCTTCGACGGGGACCAGTCAGGACGTTGGACGACGACACCTGGCTGGTGTCTTTGTACGTTTCGCAGTCGGGAGCGGGAGGGAATTGCATATGGTGCCGGTGTATGTTCGCGAGCAAAACAATGCGCGTGTGTTGCAGCTGTTGCGACGAGCGCAACAAATGCAGGCTGCATGTAACGTGTGCCAGAGAAAGTGCATTCTCTCTCTCTTTCCCTCTTTCCATTCATCGGCACCGCGCGCGCGACACCGAGCAGCGGATGACGTCACTGGTGAACCGCTTGCGCGCGGAACCAGAGATGGATCTCTTCGACCGTGCAGTCAACACCTTCCCGTACTCGTTCCTTTCGATCTAATATCGCCGTTATCACATACTACACTCGACGCGTGAATCCGGAACGGAGATCGAGCGCGAGATCCCTCGCCTCGATCCCAGCAACGAACGCACAAAGGCGGGATAACTGTACCGACCCCCGATCTGTCTCGACTCGCTTGACCTCCAATCGGTGTGCACCGGCAACCCGTGGTGTGGACCGAAAAACCCGTTGCCCGGGGAACTCGCGGGAGAAAGTCGCGCAGCACACTTTTTCGATATATGCGTGTGTTATATACCTGACACGCGGCGGACTCGTGAATTTTCGATTAAAATCGAGTCTTCGTGGGCGTTCAACTGGGTGATGTGAGAGAGAAGAAGGCAAGGCGCGAAAGGCTATACGCCTGGAAACGAGATGCTCGCGTGTCGTTGTGTCACACTTGCCTTCCTGTCCCATCCACGCTCTTCCTGTCTACCTTCTCAAGTCTCTTCAAGGCTCTTCTCGCGTGAGCTTTTCACGGTCATTATCACGAGTCGAGTTGTCGCGAGGGATTATTGACCGATGTCGAGTAATGACGGCTGATTATTATTTTTATTGCTTGTTTCCTTTAGGAATATATTTCCACGCTGTATGAAATAAATATTGAGATTAAATTTCCAAAGTTGAAGTATAAATCAAAGTTTACGATTTACATGTGGAGGAAATGTGAGAATGATTACAACTTGTTTAATTTGGTTTGTTTAATGCCATCACGCATCAATTATAATTTGATATAAAAGGAAAAACTTATATGTCTCATTACAAATATGAAATTTTGTTTGCACACTGAAATAAACTATTAATAAGAAAACTTTTTTTTATTGTGAAAGAAAAAATAATTTTATTAAAAATATCTCATAAAAACATAGCCCCAGATATAATATTATTTAATATTTAGATTTTTATTTTTATATTATATTAGTATTGTATAGAGAGAGACTTCTCTTAAAATTTATCCTGAAAATCATGGGAATCATCGGATAATAGGTATTGGAAGAATTTTATAAGAGTTTCTCTGATTAATATTTACCACAATAAAAATATGAATATCACAGTTAGATATAAAATATGTTTAATTAATTTTTACTATGTACATATTAATATTTTTATTGTGGTAAATATTAATCAGAAAAACTCATAAAATTCTTTTAATACCATATTATGATTTTCGCCGTTTTTAAATCCTAAGGCTTTTAAATTCTAAGAGAAAATTCTTTCCATAATATTGGCATATTTGAAAATTTTTTATACACTTCCTCATTTAAATAGTAGAGAATGTAATGAGCTACTTATACATACATATTTATATATATAATTTTTCCAAATTCATAATTTTCTGAAATACATGATTTCGAAAATGGCAAAGTTTCGTTGGGTAAAAAAATAATTATTTTCATTCACGCCAAGTGTTTGATTCACTTTTATTTCATACACTATAAGAAAATTTGTTAACTTGACTAAACCTTTCCAACTAAATCACTATTTTGTTAATTGAACATATATTAGTATTTAAGTTAAATATACGTTTTGTTAGATTTAATATGTCACATTTATAATTTAAATATTTTTATATGTTCAATTAACAAAATAATAATATTTAGTTGAAAGGTTTAGTCAAGTTAAGAAACTTTGTTTTTTTTAGAGTGTACGTATTTAAAAAGATCGTTCCGCATCAGAGATTCTAGCACTTGGCTCGTCCCTCTTAGAGCCCAGGGGCGCTTAATTTATGGTCAGCACCAATATAGCCTGAGAAACTCCTGTCCCGATGACTCGGTAACCTTGTAATCGGTCGGGGTCTACCTTCAGAATTTCACGAAAGGATCCTTGCGTAGGTTCCTCCCGTTAAAGTGTTCTCCTTCAGCGAACACAGGTATTTCGGGTCCCTGCGATTGTTTCGCCTCCGCGTTAAGAATGCGAGGCTGGCGAAGAAAAATACCATTCTAAGAGGTTTAATCCAGATAGAAAAATTTGCGTATCTAGGTCGGTAGGCACATTGAGATTTATACTCGCAGAAAGGCCTTTGTTTCGATTTAAAAAATGTATACATATACGTATGTATGTATAGAAACAGTTAGAGAAAGACAGATTATGGTCTCTGAAACGGTACTAAATTTGAATTAGTGAGAATATTGAAGACTTCAAAGATGATTTATAGTTGCCTAAAAACTGTCATCTCTTGTTTGTTAGTTTATTTTATATTTTTCTACACAGAGAGGATTTTCTCTTAGAATCCACCCTGAAAATAATGGTAATTGTGGGACAATATTAAGAGAATTTTACGAGTTTCTTTAATTAAATATTTACCACAATAAAAAATATTAATCTCCACATATTTTATTGTAGTTATTATAATATTTAATTCTAAAGAAAATTCTAAGAGAAAATTCTCTCCGTGCATAAACGAAAAAAAGAAACTCCCTTTAGTACACAATAGTGTATTTGATTACAAATTTCTAATATCAATAAAGACGTCGATAAATATTAAAAAATATTAAAAATATAAAATATAAATATTAAAAATATAATATATAATTTTACAAAAAATAGTAAAAAGAATTAAAACATTAGAATGCAAAAATTTGACAAAGAGATAATGCATGTTTAAAAGAGCTAAAGAGACATGAAAAAATGCAAGCGATTTAGACAAGAATATATGTACATATATCCGTCTTGGAAAGCACGATGCAATTCTTCATGAAAAAATAAATTATTTCTAAGAAGCCGGACTAAGTATGCAATTTTATTAATTGCGAAGATCTTTGCTTCTTTCTTGCGACGCGATTAGCATCTCGCGATTTAATTAGATGCAGCTGCGACTTATCGATTTAAGGACGAATGAACATCGAACGAGTTATCTAGCAGGGAGATATTCGCGAGAGATGGGAAGATGCGTCTCGTTACCGTCGTTCCGGTCGATATATCGTATCCTTAACCCCCTGTAAAGCGGGAAAGACACACGGTGCATCGAGCCGCGAATAAACCACGTGTAATTGCGGCTTGCACTTTAGCTGCATCGCCGTTAGATCGTCGGCTATGTATTAAATCGCGACTAGCGGAAAGTGCCGCTTCGCGATTTCTTTATCTAAAAAACGCGTTTCGCGGAAACAAAAATCGCGGAACCATAAATTCTCTCGAGAATACTCTTTCGATAATAATATAATTTAGTAGTAATTTTTAAATTACTCTTGGAAATATCTTTTAAATATTGATTTACATTCAAGTGCTTATTAATTAAATATAAATACTAATATCGCTTTATAATTTAAGCATGCGCAGAAGCTGAAATCTGATAAAATCATAAATTATCTAGAAATACAAAAAATAAAAATTGAGCTCGAGATTCTAGATTTCAAGAATATGTATTGTAACTTTATAAGATTCTTGACTATATTCGAGTCAGCACCTTTGAATTATAATTCATCCAAATCCTTTGATTGAATCATCATTCGGATCAAATTTCTCAAAGAATCTCATTAACTGATGCTGGCGCAACAATGAGACTTGCTTTTGTCATCATTCATTACCCGATATGCAACTTTTCCCCTACCTTTATGGATAGTCAAGGCATCAAGTTGAAAAGTGTTTACTTAACAATGGATCGACCGTCGAACGCGAATCGCGATTTACCGGTTTCCCGTGGTTCCAGGTCAAGTCCTTCCGGTTTTAGAGTCGGGTCGATCCGACCCTCCTTTTGCATCTGGATCAACGAACGTCACTCTTTCTCCGAGTCAGCTCTGTCGAGAGACTCTTCCTCTTTCGTTGACGGGAAGCAAGGTCGAAGCTGGCATTGTTCATCGATTTTGCGCAGACAGCTTTCATCCTTCATGTCTGCAATGCATATGATGAATATCTCGTTGTGATTCGCATTGTGCAAAGCCATTCATCTTGAGAGAGAAAGAGCGATGTAGAAATCTAGAAAAGAAGGATCTTTGAGGGAAAAAAAGATTAATTTTATTAGCGCTATTCTTCAGTTTTATATTAAAAAGAATGATATTTAAAAAAAATAGAAAGTTTGTCTAAACTCCATTACTATTTTTGACAGAAATCAGCTGATACCTGTCAAAAATATTAATCGAATTTAAAGTATTGTAACATATTATTTTATTTCAATTTTTGTAACATTAATATTTTCAAATTAACTCTTATTGATCAGCTGATTTCCGTTAAAAAATATGAAAAAGCGTTAATTTGCTAATTAAATTTTAAATTAATAATATGTTATAAAAAATTAAAAATAAGATAAATGTTTTAAATAATATGTTAGAATGCTTTAAACTCGATTAATATTTTTGACAGTTATCAGCTGATTTCTGACAGAAATCAGCTGATTAAAGCGCAAAAATCTCTTATACTTATGGGAAATGTTTTCTTTGTGTTTTAAAGATGGAAATCGAGGTCCGGACGCTCAAGCAGGAACTGGCGCGCACCCAGGACGCTTTAAAAGCCGCCACGAAGAAATGTCGGGACCTGGTGAAGGAGCTGGATCACCGTACGACCGGCCACGAGTCCGAGAAGATTCTGCGGGATCAACAGCTCTCGAGGATACTGCGGGCGTTGCTGTACCTGGAGGGACGACTGAAGCAGGAGCAAAAGTCGATCAGACAGATGCTCTGCGAGAAGGACACTGTTATTAGAAATCAGCAGCTGGAGATTACTATGCTCAGGCGATACACGAAGAACTACATTAAAGGCAAACGTGATCGGACGACGATAGCCGCCGGGACAGTCAACGCCAATGTTGAAAAAAATCTGCAGAACCTCGGCGATTTGCAAGTAATTTAAAAAAGAATATGATAATTATAGTATAATTATTTCCCACAATAAGCGATTTATTTAGAAACAATGGAAAATATAATAAGAGGGAATAATGTGCAAAGAATAAGAGAGTAAAAAATGTTCTCCACTCTATATTTCCTACAAATTCAAGTCTCTTCGACACTAACTCGCGTGCTAATCATTTCCAGAAGGAGACGCTACAAGAGAGCGGTATCGGCAAAGATATCGCGAGTCTAAAATGCGAGATAATCACGCGACTGAATCCGGCGTCGTCCGGCATCTTAGACGAGCTGAACCGCAATAGCGTGAAGAAGACACACAGTTTCGCCGGCAGCGACATTTCCAAAGCCAGTTTGACCAGCAGCGAGAACACCGATCATGCGTCCATCATCACCACGACGACGGAGGGCAGCCCTTCGTTGCTCAGTACGGAGGGCTTCTGCGAGGGCGAGAGCACGGACGTGTCACCTGGCTCGACCTTAAACAAGTGTCCGAACAGGTATACGCCGACGACAGTGACTGACAGCGAGAACGAGACGACGATGATCGCGGATGAGAATGAGGACATGGAAGATGATGATACGATAACGACAAGAAGGATCCTTCACAGGATAAAGGGCCAGAAAACGACGGCCAAAGGTTCCGATGTGGTGGTCGAGGTAGTCGGCATTACGAGGACAGAGAGCAAGGATGATGGGATGGACTGTAACTTCGTCTCGGAGGATGAGAATCAGGACGTAAAGATGAATGATCAAGGAGAGAATGACGAGGAACCGATTTACGTAAACGCCTGCAACGAAACGAACGAGAGGAACCTCCAGCAGACGGAGTTGCTGTTAAGGACGAAAGATAATCATAGCAATAATAATAATAATGTGTACGTTGCTCTTTTTTTTTGTTACAAGATTTTTATTATAAATATTCACGCCATTATATTCCATTTATATTTTCTAATTTTTCTTTTTCAAACACAATTTCCTTTCAATCTTTTCTAGCAGCGAGGTAAAGATCGAGACACCCGAGTTGTTGGTGGAGGACACTAGTGGTAACTGGTATAGCGATCCTGACGAAGACCGGTTGAATGAGGACGTGTTCAGGCATAGCACTTACCGGCCAAACAGTAACCACAACTCTGTGTTAGAATGTGTGAATCAAATCTTGCTGCAGGACATGGAGGAAGAGGAGAACTCGGTGCTGTCGGTACCGCGCCGATTCAAGCATCGCGGTAGAATCGTACGCTTCCAGTCGGCTAGATTGTCCGATATCGAATCGGTGGGTTCGGAGATGGAGAGGAGAAACTCTGAGGAATCCGCCGCAGACAGTAAAGATTCTCCGAGAGAGGAGGAGCCCGTGGAAAACGAGACGAGCGCGTCCGAGGATGAGTTTGGTATGAGAATCGTTCAAAAGGAGTCGGATGACGATTCCAAAGACGATTCCAAGGCGATTCCACTGGTTATTATTGAACCCAAGGTCGATGTCGAAGAGATGAGAAAGGTTTCGGTAAAATCTCAGGTGAATAATCCTCCCTTAAAAATGGAAAGGATCGAGGAGAAGGCCTGTCTGCAAATGTCCGCACGAGGACTAACTATTGCTAAGAACTTGGATTACGAAGATATCGAATCGCTACCGGAAGTGGCAATGTCACCGACGCCGCCCAGGACGCCACCAGCTCTGCCGCCAAAGCCACAATTTCGCTGTAATAATACGCTAATTTTGAAGAAAATTCCGAGTCCGTCATTCTTAATTGACGAAAAGAGACAGCAAGACACTACCGGGGATCCTACGAAAAGAAGTATTTTAGGATTAGTATCGTCAAAGGCGGCGAAGAATTTAAATCTGGAGGAAACAAAGAGTTCGGCCAGGAGTTCGACGAGAGAGATGAAAGGTCGCGAAGGCGGTGGATTCTGGAAGAGTAGATTCAATCATGTGCGCTCATCCTTTCAAGTGAGACAGAAAGAACGGGATCAGTCGAAAAACGCTGCCAGAGTTACAAACATCGTTCGGCATTTTGAAGAATTCAAAATCGGCGATCCGGAAGAGCAGACGAAGGATAGAAATCGCCCAAAGGAGCGTCACGGCGAACTCGATCAGGTAAGGACCCTCGCGGACGAGATTTATAATAAGATGTTTTGGGCGAATAATATATTCTAATTTCTAAAACAATTTTTTTCCTCGTGTGTCCAGGATTTTGACATTCGGCAAAACTTTGAGGAATTCAATCTGGATGAATGCGACCTGTCGGACGATCCTGATCGACCCGAGGGCGACGGATCCGAGAGACTGGGCTATAACGGGCTCAACAACGCCGATCAAAATGGTGTCGTCAAAGAAAACAACAATGTTCCTGCCATCAGTAATGGCAACAGCAATGGTGAAACTGGCGGAACCAGCGGATACGATCATTTCCTCGAGGCAACCGGCCTCAGCAATAAGTCGATCCTCACGCCTTCGAGGCTGCTGAGCAACCACAAGAGCATGCTGAAACCGAAGGATGTAAAGTACAAGAGCAGAATTAAGGCTACGGCAGTGCTGGAAAGGCACGGAGTGCAAACGACGGTCGGCAGTACCTCGACGACGCACGTCAGACACTGGACAGGGCCGTTTGTCTGACGACTGGCCAATGTCCTGCCGGGCAAAAGTATCTTTCGTCCCGCCGTGTCGGCCGACAATTCACCGATAAAGGCAAAGTACAGAAGATTCTGATCCTCTGACTCGCTTCCGACTAATTAAATATTTTTAGTCACGGCGTTTCTCGTTTTTATAACGCAAAACGGAATTTTAAGCAATATCGTGATCAAGGAATAGAAAATTCTTACAAGCAGGATTAGAAAAGCACACACAATCTTGTCTCCTGCCTTACTAATATCGTGTGTAATATCATGAATTATTATACGAATTTTAACATACTATCTATAAAAATGTATACATGCGAGTCTTTTATAGATCTTGAAGTCGCACTTTAAATGATTAACTTATTTGATTCTTTCTGATAGATGTTTATAATACGTTGATTTAACTGTTTCTGCTGTGAAATTATTTATAAGTCTTTGTAATCTGTGAAAAAAATATGATGACTTGTCTCGATATTTTTTGATACGATACTTTTATTTATAAAAATCATTATCTCGAACTATTATATTTTCCATTACCCTTATATGATTTTCATTTAATGAATGCAAAGATATGTTTGGTAGTTCACTTCTCACCCACATCATCTTTTATTAAAACTATTATTAACATATACACGGGTCTCTCTATCTTACAATTAAATTACGTTCGCGTACATTCGACGAGGAATCTTACCATAAGGTACGAATTTAATTTTCAAAGAATAGAACGATGAGAGGTCTCAATTGGAAGAATAAGATCTAACGTCGCGGATCTCGACGATTTCGAAGACATGATTTTTTTCTTCAACACAATCATATATATATATGCTTTTAAATAGAATAGATATAGATACAAATGTGAGTATGCAAACAAAAAATATTATATTACAACACAAAGAGGAGGAGGGAGAAGCAATTTAATCAAAAATTGCAGGATAAATATTCGAATCTCCGTATAAAAAATAGTATACATATATCGCATCAAAGATGAAATAGGAGGAAATTAAATTAAATTAAATAGCTTTTGTGATGTGCATTCTCGCCACGAACTTAGGATTCAGTACTGAATACGCAACGAGAACGCGCTGCCACTGTCAATAAAGTTATGCATTTGTTCGTGCGCACAATAGTTTACAAGCGTTCAAGTTATGCGATATTTGTGAGATACGCAAAAAATCTCTAATTATAATACAAATTGCGTGTGTGTGTACATATATTTTTTATACATATATAATCTCTACTATCTATCTGAAAGATATAACGCAAGTCTATAAAAATATGACAACGCTATCAACCGGTATCAAAATCTAAAAGTGGGGCGTGAGAAGAAGAAACGCGAACAGTAAGTTTTTTTATGTAAGTCGAGTAAGTTTTTTTTATGTTATTCCTTCTCAAGAGCAGTACACAATCCCCAATTTTTTTTTGTAAGCGTCGTGCGGTTCGATTCTCTTTCGCGCGTTAGTATATAAATCATTCGTTCAGGCACTCCATTTACGCTTGTTTGGCTAATATTAATTATATCGGATACAAACGTGTATGAATATAACGGCAGGAAGGTCTCGCTCACGAAAACTCGCAGAATTGGTTCTGGCACAAATGTCGCGTCCTTCAAGTCTCCCTCTCCGCACGGAAGTCGTAGAAGAACTGCGGATAGAGAACGTCAGAATTATATTTATCACCAAAAATAATCGCTAAAAAATTTAGTACAACGTACCTCTCTATCCAAATCTCTTTGTGTCCACACTTTGATAACAGGAAGTTTGCTCTGTCGAAACATTTGGAAGAAATTAATTATATTATATCAGAGAAAGTAAGTTATAAGCATGGGCGTGCACAAGATTTTTTTCCAGGAGGGAGTTGATTAATTTGAATTTGTTTGATTTTTAAATTGAAAAAAATTTTGTTATTTTTATTTTTTTATGTTAAATATGCAAATAAATTCTAATGTTTATTCAAAAAGAGAGCACATGCTTAATTTTTTTTATTGATCCTAAGGAAGGCAAATGTCCCCTTTTGTCTCCTCCTGCGAACGCCTATGGTTATAAGTCAATCGATAACTATACTCTCCAAATTATCATACTTACACTCGCAGAATCAGGATGATTAGTGATAAGACGAGGATTAAGCGCGAACGGAACTCCATCGAGATCGGACGAGCCCGGAAGTGTGCCGTAAACGGTCGTCGAACCGACAGGGACGGGCAAGGCGGACGTGGGCGGTTGAGGCGCCGGCCTCGTGGGTCTGATTCTCGCATTAAGACTCAGTACTTCGTAATCTCGATCGCCAGACTCGTCATTGTCCTTATTAGCTCCGCTACCAATTTGCGGATAGATCCCGTTGACTGCTTTTGGCGCGAACTTTGGTTTCGGGGGCCTCTCGGGGGCTGGTCTGTGAGGAGATCCGTTCGAAGGATTCGGAGAAGGGCTTTGTAGTAAGCTAAAATACGTATAACAATATAGGATGAAATTGAAATAACGCAATAAATTTAATGCAAAAACAGTAACTCACTCTATATTAACGTATGGCTGTGTATCCGAATTCGCATTTATGATATCTACTGTTTTATAGCATACGCGAACACCATTTATAACTCTGAAAAGAAACAGATATCTTAAAATATATTGCGATTACACAAGACATTGCATGAGAAGGTATAGAGTATAGGCTCTCTTTCTTTGCACTCTATTTTCTGATATATATAAATATTCCGTATTTATCTTTTTTACACTTGGAAAATATTGTTATAAACTTTTAACTACAGTTATTCTTTTCTGTTATAACATATTTGATAAATATACAAATAATTAAAGTGTTTCAAAATGTAAATTAAACATAAAATCAATTATAAATATGCATTAAAAAAGTGCAAAGAATCGAGCTGAAGTGGCTCAATATTAAAAGCAACATACCCGGCAGCGGAAAACCCAATAGGCGCTAATTTGGAGTCCTTGTGGATTATCCTACTGCATATTATAATATCTGTGACTGCTTTCGCGCACGAGTTCTTATTCCTAATTTTATAGCACACCTGTTTCTTCCGCCAGGCCTTTTGCCCTGCAATTTAGTTTTTCAAATTACAAATTTACATATCTGATTAGTTAAATACAGTAACACACTAAAGAGAGAGAGAGAAAGAGAGACTTACTCGAATCCACGGTATACGAAATCATATTGTATCCTTCCGGTGGAGTGTCTCGTTCGTTAATCACCACGATATCTTCAACCACGCAACCAGGCGGGCCCTCGGTTTTCGAGAAGCAGATGTATCTTCCCTTCTTCTTAATGAATAGTCCGTTTTCTCTCCACAGATCGGCGTCGGTGTCCTGGTCGTACGTTCTCGACACCTTAAACAAACGCAACGGTATCTCTAATTATCACAGCGACGACAGATAAACACATACATCAGAGATAAGTGTATTTTAACACATCGTACCACTGTGTAGTTCGGCGGACACTTGTCTACGTCTTCGACAACGCTAATGGCAGTTATTGGCCTGTCGTCCGGAAGCACGGCCGACACTTGATGGACTAGCATCTTGCAGCCGGTCTTCTTTGACATTGCTAAGATTCCGGATACCTGTCAATTCATTTCTAATTAGAAAAGGTGAAGAGGAACGAGGCAATAAATTATAAATAATTAATTTATAACTACAATAAGGATTATACTATATTGCTTTTTTCGCCTATTAATCATGTGAAAAGAGATTAACATTTATAATCATGGCTACAATAGCTATTGTTGGACGATCATCGCGAGGAAATTTATACTGTATTACGGGTATTTGATTGGATCAATTAAATGGAATACAATGAAACGATGGTCTGCGATAATAAATTTAACGACGAAAAATCGTAAATGCGATGCATCAGCCTTTTTCCGACGTATCAGCAAAACGTTCCAAAAATATCAACGTGTGACCGACATTCTTCGCTCCATGAGGTTTCCGAGCGCGAGGCAATCGACTATGAAACTCTCGTTAATCCGACGCGACGTAGCACAAACCGATTGAAGTCTTCCGGTTAGCAATCTATCTTGCATTCTCGGATCTGCGGTTTGAACCGGAGAACGGATTCGTTCAGAGAGAAAAGAGTTTCCAGACGCCTTCTACGTCAAGGCTTAGCTTGATTACATTCACTCTCGACGACTGAAGAAATCCACGAGTGTTTTCTACGAGTATTAATTGGGAAACAATAATGATTGGTCTTTTCCTGGAAAATTATGTTTGGTCTGTCGGTGTAAAATTTGATCAGTCTCGAACAAGCGGTTCATTGCTCGATGAGTAATCTGGCGTGAATTAACAACATAGGCGGGGTTGATGAAGAAAGCAAAACATAAGAGGAAAGTGGAACGTACAGGCATGTTCGCGGAAGAATGTGTAATGCCATTGCGTTAATAATTACGTGAACATCTCGACGACTAAGGCCTGGTCTACAATAGAGTCGTAATTCGTAATTTGTAAGAAATTGACCCCAATCACAGATGATTATTTTTGAAATAATCAACTGTGATTTGTGCGAATTCCTTACGAATTACGACTCTATTGTAGACCAGGGGCCTAATAAGAAATTAATGAGGCTTAATTTGAAGTAGAATTTTAACCAGTCTAGGAAGAGTCAAACGAGACTGTGTGGTTTTAATGAAAATTAATTTTTCACCAAACTGACTTGTGCACAGGACACAAATTTCTTTCAATGTGATACTAATTAAAATAATCATTAATTAATATACCTATGATTATACAAATAATCTCAATAAATGATATAAATAATATCAATTATAAATAATCATTAAAGTAATTTAAAAAATCTCATAAATGTGATTTCTTTGGCAAACATGTTTTCCCAGCAAGTTTAAAATTCAACTTGATATCTACATAAGAAATGTACAATACAATGGAATTTATAACAGCGAATGAATATAACAATGAAACATTATTTCGTTGTATTGGAGAAGTACTTTCTGCGTGCGTTTGAACCCAAGAAGAGGTCTTCGTCGAATCATTCATGCAAGTTTCAATACTTCCAATTAAACCTCATACGGAGAACCGTCACTTGACTCGTGTTTGCATTTCGGAGTTAAATTAACGGCAATAATGTGACACATCTAAATAGATTTTGATTACGCAGAAGGAAACGTCATTCGATCAACAAATTTACATTAACGCTCCGGCCAGTCATCGTCACTCGCTGTCGTAAGACAGAAAAATAACTCGAGTATCCGGAATCTTGCGAAACAACGACAACCGGGGAATTTCCATTCATCTCCTCATCTTTGAGATGCTTCTCGTCTGGAGATAATCAGTTGAGATTCCGCGACCATTTCTTTTGCTCAACCGTTGTTCTCACAAAGAAAGAAACTTTGTTAACAAAATCGTTGACGCACCTGTAGATATAAATATACATATTATATAAATGTCTGTATATTTTTAGACTCTCGGAGTCTTTAACTAAAGTTCAAGAGAAGTGACATATATATATATATATATATATATATATATATATGTGTGTAAGCGTAACAGATCAATGCCTAGCTACTAGACAAAACAAACAACAGACATAACGCAACGGGAGAAGCAGGGACTCCCGTGGGAAACCGGCGTTGAATCGCTCAAGGGCGTGCTCGGGAAGGGAGGTCGATCGAATATATAAGGTCTATTGGTAGACGCAACATATATGTACGTGTATTGTACGTGATGGTACGAGACGATGGCACTCTTCCCCCTTTCGTAGATTATATTAGACGTGTCATCGGCCGCGACGTCGCCTCTCGCGAGGCGCTCGATAGAGGTTGACCTTCTCTCACGATGCGACGTTGTGTATCTTCCTCGTCACGTCTCTTCTCCTACTCCTCCTCTTCTTCTTCTTCTTCTTCTTCTTCTGCTTCTTCACACGATCGCGCACTTCGCTCTTACAACGAAGCGACCACAACACGACGCGAGAGCGCGACTTCTTTCACCGGCGCGCATATTATAACTCGGAGCTAACTTCAGGGGATGACGTCAACCGACGACGACGTCGCGGAGGACCGCGCACCACGCTACCGTTGCCCGACGACGCGCCTCGCGGAACTGCCCGAAAACCACCGAGGTTGGCGAACTCGACCCCGGGTGCAGAGAGAAACCTGAGAGAGGCCCATCCCGGCGATTTTCTTGCGACTACTTTTCGCTCCCGCGCAGCAGCGCCTCTACGTCCATTTTACAACCGCTTCGAACTACGAAGCCACATTTACCTTCAGTAGCGAGATAAAAATATGATTTTTGGTGCTACATCAATAATTGTAGTATAGTAGCTTTACAAAAAGATACCTATACGTCAATATGAATATTTCAAATTTTCAAACAGAAAATTATAAAAAGTTAGGTATTTAATTGTAATTATTTTTATAATATAAACTATAGTATTTCATAATTATTTATCTAACCGCAATATAATATGCCTTGTAATGCAAATAAGTTGCATATTGTTGAGTAGGAAATTATAACATCGATGTTATAACTTATAGTGTTTAATGGGATATTCTCATTTTCATTATGAAATCAATCTTTGATCCCTGCGAGATCATTATAATACATATATGTGTCGCAATCATAGAGGAAATAATTCTGTAAAAAATTTTGAAATATTAATATTTTTACCCCATAGTAAAAAACCAGTGATATCACTGGTTTTTTTTGCTATGGGGGTATATTATTCTTATTGCTCTAAAATACCAAATTATTTGAATATTATTTTAAATAATTTAATATATAAGATTAACACATATGTTATATATATATATATCACTTTACTGTATAATTCTTTAATATTACAGTAAATATCTGAAGATTATAGTTTATATAATTAATTTAGTAAAGATAAAACATATATATTATTAGTTTACCCAGATAGTACAAGGTATTCGAAAAGAATTCATTTGTATGTCACCAATTTTGAGTCCTTTTTCAATACTATAGAATTCATTTTATTGATATGAGTTCTATATGTATTTGAAAAGACTCATAAATAGCTTAGTAAAGATACACATGTGTACTATCTAGCTGTATATATAATTATCTTCAATTTAGTGAAGATAGTGTACTATTTAGCTGTAATTATCTTTAATTATTTATATATATACTTTACTGCATTCTATATGTATTTGAAAAGACTCATATCAATAAAATGAATTCTATATGTATTTGAAAAGAACTCAAAATTGGTGACATACAAATAAATTCTTTTCTCTCTTTTTGAATATTTAAATATTATTCTATATAAATATATAGCTTAGTAAAGATAACACGTGTACTATCTAGCTGTAATTATATTGAAAAAGAACTCAAAATTGGTGACATACAAATAAATTCTTTTCTCTCTTTTTGAATATTTAAATATTATTCTATATAAATAGCTTAGTAAAGATAACACATGTTACTATCTAGCTGTATATATAATTATCTTCAATTTAGTGAAGAGATAACACACGTGTACTATTTAGCTGTAATTATCTTTAATTATTTATATATATACTTTACTGCAATTATCTGAATATATTCCAGATAATTTAGAAAATATATTCATATTTTTATTATCTCTTTTATAATTTATATTTTTTAATAATTGTGTTAGTGCTCTTAAATATTAAATTAATATTATCTAGAATTGTCTCTATATACATATAAATAAATCGCTATATAATTTTATTTTTTATCTAGATATATTTAAAATAAAACCATCTTTATTTTATATTTTATATCTATAAGATAAATTTACATATTTTTATCTCATCTTTATATCTATATAGCTAAAATTTTAAAATCATCTAATAAGCTTAGCACTAATAAGTATGTCAATGAATTAATAAATATGATTTGATTTGCTGCGCCACATATTATTATGAATTTATTTATTTATAATCAATGATGACAAGTGACTTTAATCCTTGTTCTATATATGTAATCATAGCCTTATTTCAATATAATAAATCGGGATTTTTCTCATATAAATAAATGAGCTAATATAGAGTCCATGTGTCATCTTATTAGACGAATACGAATCAATTGATATATAGGAGCGTGAAATGTCAAGTTAAATTCTATTCTGAGAAGCATATAATGTATTAATTATGTCACACAGATAAACGAATAAAATGAGGCGAATAAGAATGAAGGATAACAAGCTTTTACGCGGTATAATAATGATACGCCGAACTTTAGCATTTCTTATTTCCTCATTGGGATTCGTAAAAAAAACCCATACTGTAGATTACACTCCCTCCCTAACTATACTGATGAACTGATGGTATATATTCGCGTTTCATGCCGTTACGTGTCAGTCTGACAAAGTAGTGTCAAACGCTTGTGTCAGGTGTCAGCCTGTCAGCTGATCAGCTGATATATTCGGTGCTTTATTTACTTGTGTGTTGTGTTTGCAAATATTGTCTTTTACGTTTACTTTTAATTGTACGTGACAAATTATTATTCTCTTTGAACCTTACAATTTCAAGAGAGACAAATATCGCTTATTGGTTCGAATCGAAAACATGACAAATACAGAGAATAATGATCCTTTTTACCATTCTTTGAGCGGTGACAAGGAGAAGATGGGTTAGTTCGATTTTTAATTTACTGGTTTTTTATATCTACATTTGATTTATCTACGATTAATAGACAGATTTTGACTTAGAACATACGTGTTTTAAGGATTTTAATTAAATTTTTTTTTTAAATTATGTAATTTCTCATAGAAACTGTTGAACCTATCAAATATATTCTTCAAGTTCCTGGAAAGCAGATAAGGGCCAAATTATCCCAGGCTTTCAACTACTGGTTAAAAATATCGCCCGACAGAGTAAAGCAATCGAGGAAAATAGTAATTATGCTCCACAATGCAAGCCTTGTGTAAGTTTACTGGATCAGTGTGATTTTTGTTTTGTACATTTTCCATTTACACATTTTATTAAAATATACAACTATATATAATTTTATTACATGAAATTGCATTTGCATTTTAACTTGTATTATCTTTGTAACCAATATGCTAATGTACTGATATTCTAATGTTCTGATATTCTGATATTCAATAATAATTCTATATTTTCTATTACATATATATTCATGTTATTGCTTATTTATATTACATGTTACAATTAAATTTATATTAATTAAAAAGACAATTTCCTATACACTTTTATAAGATTATAATTTGTTTTAATTTATTTTTTCTTATAGAATGATGATATTGAAGATAATCCATTTTGCGAAGAGGTATTCCTGTTGCTCATTCTGTTTATGGAATTGCTGGCTCGCTAATGCTGCAAATTATGTAATGTTTATTCTTGGAAAAGAGTTGTTAATTGCAACATTCTGCAGTAAGTATTCAATATATGTAAAAGAAAAAGATAAAAAAATAAGCAATACTTAAATCACACTATTTTTACAAAAAAAATTAAAAGAGATCTTATTCTCCTTTATAAGTGCTCATAATAACATTTTCAAAAAATGCAAAATTTAAATTTAATCCTGAGTTATATCCATGACATTATACATTCTTAAATAAACTGAAATGAATGAAGTTATTCTTTTGTTATAATACACTAAAATTAAAGTTATTGCGAGAATTAGACTAAAGAAAAAAGCATATTATTTGTTGAGCTATTGTTGTAAACTATTAATTTAAGTAGAAATATATATTCCTTCTTATCCTACAAATTTTTTTAACATAATTTTATTATGTGCAAATGCTTTGCATTTTAGCTTGAATTATACTTGTAACCAATTGATATTTTAATAATTTTACGTTGTAATATTTTAATATTTATAATTCTTACTTCAAAATTTAAAATAAAAAAATATACATGTTTTATGTGTCCTTAAAGATATGTTTTATGTTATTTTAGTATGTATTATTAAGGTCATTAAGACTCATTAAAATTGTAAAAGGTTAGATAAGACTTTACATTTTCCTGTTAGATAAAATGTAAATTACGTTTTTTTCTTCAGGCGACGAAAGTATATATGGAACAATTATTGGAACTTCATAGAGGTCAAGGTATGGAAATTTATGGCGGGACAATTTCATTTGTCCAAGTGAGGCAGATTACAAAACTATGACAATAAGAAGTAAATATTAATACTTATATATATAAATTTGCCATTAAAATATATATATGAAAAAAATTAAAATATTAACTAATTTTGCAGAAACTGGTGGTCTCTTTAACATGGCGGTAAGATTAATGAAATTATTCTCAGCTTACGAAGAAGACTTATCGTCATTAATAGCTATTTTGGGCTTGTACTTTCAAATACGAGATGATTATTGCAATTTGTGCCTCAGTGAAGTGAGTAATGATATACATAATAATATACTTAATATACATAAGGATCTACAATATTATATATACTTGAATAAACTGAAAGAATTAAATTAATTTTTTGTTATAGTATACCGAAAATAAAAGTTACTGCGAGGATTTGACTGAAGGAAAATTCAGCTTTCCAATTATTCATGCAATTACAACCAATCCTGGTGATAGGCAAATAATAAGTATCCTTTAGTATATTACTTTTTTATTATTATACTTTTTATTTAAAAAAAAATATCTTGGTTAATTAACACACTTGATTTACTAGAAAAGGAACGTAAACGGTTCTACATCACACGCACCATTTTCAAAAATTTTATAATTTATGAACTTTATTTAGGTTTCCTTAATAATGCCTGATAAAGATATTCTGAGACAACGAACGAAAGATATCGAAGTGAAACGTCATTGTGTTAAATTATTGGAGAAATTTGGCTCCTTCAAGTACACTAGAGATGTGCTTGAAGAGTTGGATGCAAAAACGAGAGCTGAGATTGATCGTTTAGGAGGCAACCCATTGTTGATAAAAATCCTAGATGAGCTTAAGAATTGGGATACCAAAGAAGCGCCTAAAGATCTCTTAACTGGAACATTTAAATTTAAGAGAGAAAAAAGATATATATTAAATTTATATTTTTCTTTATTATGTAAAACTGCAAGTTTCCATAATGTTACACAGAGTGATCTGCTATTAATAGTAAAAGAGAGCAAAGGATAGTTGTACATGAAAAATATGATGGAACAATCGTAAAAGATGTATAATAAAACTTCTTGATAGGAAGTTTTTGAGGAGAAAAAATGGCACGTTAAAAAGATACTTGAGAATGAAAATGACAATCGTATCTTGCTTGCTCATTTACAAATAGCATTATAATATAAATTTTTATGTGAGACTAAAAAATATTTATTACATTTTATATTTATTGATATAGAAATTGTAATCTATTGTTATTGCATTAAAAACTATGCTGTACAAATGTTATGATCTCTCTTGTTAACAATAAGTATATTTTAAATCTTTGATTCTTCAAACGTTGCCATATATGTTCTTGTTTTTTAAAACTTACTTTATCATTCCTGGATATAAACTATGAATTCGAACAAATCCTTTAAATAAAAATCAAGACATGACAAATTTAGTAATTTGATCCAACTTGTCAAGTTAGTACTGTAACCAATCCAACACTTACATTGCTCGTTTGAAAAACTTTATTTTTCAAATGTAAGTTCCACCGTGTTAAAAATTTTTAATATTTTTAATTATGAGAAGTGTTTTCAAACTAGTAATAAATCAATAGATAATAAGAAGAGAAAACACAATTCTGATGTTTATAAATAGGACGCTGAATGAATAGAAAAATATGGAATTTTGCCTAATATATGCATGTAACTGATGTTCAGTTTATTTTTCTAAAAAAAAAAAATAATACAAAGCTTTTATCTTCAACTCATCTGTTCATGTAAAACCATCTTGCCAACTAATACTATTAATAACAGATTAGTACTGTGTTTAATACTTCTACATTACAAATTACAACAGAACAATTTTATAAACAGGATGAAATAATTTTTCTGTTTCTATGTCAGGAATGAAACTATACAGTCTGTGATATTAAGAATGAGAATATTTCTTTTTTTCTCTTACATTTGAGTTTTATGAGGTTTGGAGATACTTTTATAAAGTATTTTATTAGCAATCGCGTAACGTGTATACAATAATTTAATAGCATACTGAATGATCGCATTATCGAAGTTTTATATAATTGTTTTGTACGTATCATGCTATTACAATATACATTTGTACCTGTTACATTCTGAAATACATAGAATCATAGAAAATCATCATCTATAACTAACGAATGTCTATCTAAGAAAAATATTTGCGCATTTTTGTCATCTCTCCAAGCGCACAATATACAATTCTTACTACATCATCAGCATCAGTGTTTAGATCTTTTTCGCAGATTTGAAAAATCATTAAGTTCAGTATGCTCTCTTTTTATCCTTCAGATTTAGACTAGATCTCGCACACAAAATCACTGTTCGTGTCATTTAATTCGCACAACTTTAGAAGGCATTATTTCGGCCTCGCTCATCTTTAATCATCTTCGTTTCCTCGTTGCGAGCAGAATCCTTTGCTCCTGATTGACGCAGGATCAGATCGAATCGGAGATTTCTCAAGTCTAAGGACTAAGATAACGTGGCGATTTGACATGTCCTCTGTTCAAGCTCGCTGTCCTCGTCAGTTTCGCTGGCCCAAGAGGGCCGTCGCTCGTGTCATATCTCGCCATCGCTATCCCCAGGACAGCGCCCTGTTCCTGACACGCCGTCATCGAGGACCTCCGTCACCTCGCGAAGCAGACAATGATTGATAGATATAATCGCAACAAACAAAATGTGTAATAAATATTATATAAAAAAAGTAAGAATCTTCTCTCGACCGTACTGGCAAATATTATTTATTCAATCACAATTGAAAGTTATGATTGAATAAATAATATTTGCCAGTACGGTCGAGAGAAGATTCTTACTTTTTTTAAATTCTGTCTGGCGATTCTCAAATATCTACGTTTTTAAATATTATATATTTTGCGCGGCAGAATCTGAATTAATTTCAATGTAAATAACGAATCGACAAAAGTCAGAAAAATTGTAAGGAAAAATTCGCTATGGAAGGAAAATTATAAGAATGTCAATCATGAAAATATATGTTTAAAATATTCTATGTATATTGTATAAAATATTCTGTTATTATCAAGAATATAACATGTTAAGATATAGGTCAGTCAAATGTTGATCTGTATTAAAGAAACGAACTGACAAATTTCTAAATTCTAAATATTATAAATTTTCTTTCAAATTCCATCAAATGAATGGATTACAAGTGGACAAATTTCTTACAAGATTCATCGAACTCAACAGCGGACGCAGGGATCTTGAAGATACTTACTAGGACTTCCTCGAAGCGATCGTAATTGTCCTGTCTGGAGTTCAAGAGACTCTCGCCTACGGAATCGGACCCGGCGTTCGATTGGCAAGGATCTCGTCGTCCTAGTGCGCTCGATGCAATATGCAGCAAGGACAATACCGCCAACAGACCGGCTGCGAACCATATGCATATATGTATCAGGAAATTCGCACAGGGGACAACGAGGAATAGCTGAAGGAGTTTGCGTCCTCTTACCCGCAACGTAGGAGAGCCAAAGTCTATTGGGTCGCCATACTAGGACGCAGGACAACGGTAAGTACAATATCGCCCTTCGCCAGCCTCGCGTGGCTATCAGGACGTTGGACCAACAACGCGAGCAAAGTGAATCCTCGTTCTGCACAAAAAAAAATATCAGAATTATTTTTTTCCACGGGAAAATATTCGCCAGTTTGCGAAATTAAAAATATTATTTTAGAGAGGAAGAGAATAAATACACACGTGGACCGTGTATTTAAAACAAATAAATTAATCGATCAAATAAATCAATTAATACACACATGAGCGCACGCTATTTATTTCAGTCAAATAGATTGTAAAATTACCTTTTTCATTCTCGCACAAAGCTTTATTTTAATTATGCATGTAATATATCGAAATGTTCATTTAAAGCTATAATTAATTTTATTTGCCAATAATTTTTCATTACTAATTATATGAATGATTAGCAAGAAGAAGCAATCGAAAGGTATGCATATTATATTCTTCAGAGATAATTAATATTTTCGAATATTGTGAAAAATTACACGAGCATCGATGCGTACGCGAGAGTAGAGAGATTATTCGATTTACATTCGACAAACAAAACTTTTATGAGAACATTTCACTGAATCGCAATCAGTTTTAATCCTTATTATATAGCTTCATCAATTTTCATTCAATTCTTCTTTTTCTTTTTCAAAGGACGGAACAGCAAGACGAGTTCTTCATCGACTCAACCTCGTGGAGACTTTCGTCGCTCATTACAAGATTACTGAATTAAATCCTGATTGTACATAAAAAAGAGGAACTTTTCACTTCAAAAAACTTTTCAATATTTTATAACTGCAACAAGTTTTACAATACATTCTCTTAATTGTGTGTTGCAAGCTTTAATGTCAAATCAGTCTTTTCACGAAAAGGTTTAAGCTCTTGATAGAGTCTCTAATTTTGTCTGTCGACATTTTAGACCTAAGTTTTATTTTTATTTACATATGTATGTGTACATTATTATATTAAATCATTGATTTACATACATGATAGCGATTTCGTTTGTAATGTAATTTCGTAATGGAAATATCCGCAGTGAGCATATATTTGCCGAAGCTTGGAAATTATCAGAGAAATTTCCGCGGAAGTAGACAGTATAATTATTGTACGCGTCTGGAAACGTACCGATATTAGTGCTCACGACTGCTAAATTCCTAATCAACAGTTCGCAGAGGATTAATCCTATTACGAGAACGACGGAACGAGGAAAAGCATCGATAATCATCTTTTTATACGACTTTGCGCGAACAAACACAAAGATAAGAGTCGTCCCTTTAAACGTGAATCAGGAAAAAGTAAAAAAATCTAATTCAGAGAAGAGATCCTCCCTTTCAATACTTCTTTAGTACACAATCACCATGGTCGTCCGCAGGACTTTTCAGGGAAATAAAAATAATTTATTATTTAATTTATTTTCACTTTTTTATATTAAATATACAAATAAATTCCAGTATTTATTTCAAAGGAGAGCAAACGCTTAATTTTTTGACAGATTCCAAGGAGGTAAATGCTCCTCCTGCGCAAGCCCATGATCACAAAGTATTGAAATATTTTTAATGAAATTATTCTTGTGCGACATATGAAAAAAATAAAAAATAAAAAAAAAGATCTCCGAAAATGTATTTTTTTTCTCTCTCTTTCGGAGACAATCAGGCGGAAGGTGGATCCTCTGTGCAGAGTGATCGATCGCTCCGACTCGCAGTTTTAATGGCACCGTCGTCGTCGAGGACATAAACTTCCGCCGGGGAAGTAACGTCGATTCGATGGATCGCTAAGCTAAGTTGCGCGATAAAACCGTAGAACTTCTTTTACTACTTTCTCCCCTATAGCACATACTAGAGCTGTATCAAGCTAAGGAAGAACGTTGGCGACGTCGTCTTCATTGGCCGTCGTTCCGCGCTGATCGATACGAGCAACTTGGATGTGGCAACTGAAAAGCTGATCGGCCAATCGAGGTATAATTTTTTTATCGAAAACGTTTAACCGAATTATTTAATATTGAGCAAACTCGTAATTTCATTTAGGAAAAAAATATCCCGATAAGAGAGATAAATTCGCACTCTCGTATATTTTAAGGGCCTATATTGTAGGGGTCGAAATAAGAAAAAAGTTCTTATAAAAATGGTTCCAAAAATGAAAATCAGTATCCCTTATATCTTCCTTTGAAAATCGAATGAAATGGTCAAAAGCACATTAAAAATGAATGTTTTTCTTCAAAACTCTGACATAGTTTTGAAAACACCCTGCTGCATATAAATCGGAATAATACACCTTCATTCTGAATTAATTATTATTTTTGTGTTTACAAAGGTTTCGTCGATGAACCTTCGAGATACGAAGAAGACCCCGAATCTCAAAGCCAAGCTCGCTGGCGCGTTTGACGCATTTATCTGGTTTAGACAGACTCCTCGCAAAGACCCGGTCCTTTGCATCGCAAAGCGTTATCTAGTCGCTTGGCGGTGGTCCGCGCTTCCGCATCCGCTCGTCGGGAGAAACGCGGAGAAAACTGGGGCAAACTTCCGACCTGGTTGGTAATTGCCGGCTGGCTTTACGCTGCTTCTTTTTCGTGTTATCCTGCCACGGCGGTTTAAACTCGACGATAGTTCCCCGGGGCCCTTTTAACCCCTTCCGCGCTCGTCCAGCTTATCGTTTCTAATATACACGAACCAGTTCAGCCAATTTGCAAAGTTACATCTCGATATTTGCGTTACATTCGTGTGAGTTTACACCGCGGGAAATACATGTCAAAATGTCTCTTCATTTCTTGCGCGTAATTTAATCATAAATGCGTAATTATTATCTCTCTCTCTCTCTCTCTCTCTCTCTCTCTCTCTCTCATGTACGAGTATATTCACGTACATATATTATGTATAATTTTTAAATTAATATATAAATTTCAAAATAAAATATCCAACAAAATACGCATCGTATACAAATAAATTTAGATTGAAATTTACATATTAATTGAAAAAATAAAATTAATCATTTAGAATATACGATACATTATACATGTAACATAACATCGAAGCTTGCAAGCATACCTGACGCAAAGCTGCACAAACAGCGTGATGGCCCAAGTAATTTCGAGGAAGAAGATCGCGCCCGATGCCGCCCTGTAATTGAAGATGTATATTTGAATTAAGAAGCTTCTTAAAAGTTGAAGAGAAAACCGAAAGTACGGTACGAAACTTGCGCTTCGCGGATCGAATTACACGGGTCGTAACAATTTAATACGCGCTCGTCTTCGCCAACGACAACTTTTCGAAGGGAGGCTGATGGAAGAATCGGGGATAAGAAAAACACAGAGTAGCCGACTTGTAGTTTCTATAAAAGACTCGGGGTCGCTCTTTACACAGATATACGAGGCCATAAATAATAATAATTCTGTTATAAGGGAAAAATTCATGTCAATGTTTGCCAATATCGTGGAAACGTGATTCGCAATTGTGTCGGTCGAGAAGGGCGAGAGAGATTTGCGATTTGTATCCCGGGGAGAATCACGATGCAGGGTGTATATCAATGATTTAAGGACGCCGACTGCCTCTTGCGTAAAACGCGAGGGAGGCTCTGCGTAAAAAATGTAAAACATTTCTCTCAATCTCTCCCACTCGCCGCGATATCCTTTTCCGGAAGTGTGTATACAGCGAGCGAGGGAGATGCCAGCGGAAAATTGCAGTGAGCAATGTCGAAAATATCTTTCGTGGCACTCGACTTCATTGCGCACATATATAGATATATATATATGTGCATCGGCGCCGTCTGTCTGTGTGGAAAAATGCAGACACCAGAGAATATCTAATTAAGAGTTATCGCCCTCTTTCTCGAAACGCGGAATTTTTTATCAGACCTTTCGCCTGATTAATATCAAATTGTGTCGCAAAAACATTGTCGATAAATTTAAAAAATACGCGAGATGCAGAGCCACACAGAGAGAATTTTCTCTAAAAATCATGACCAAGTTTTCCATGCTCGTTTTTAATTAATTCATCCCAAAAAAAATTTTTTATTATATTCATTTTTATTTTATTTTTTCATTTATATCATTATTTATGACTTTTGATTTTGCACAGAGACAATTTTCTCTTAGAATTTACCCTAAAAATCACGGCAATCGAGGGATGATATGGTATTGGAAGAATTTCATAAGAGTTTCTCTGATTAAAAAATATTAATATCTACCACAATAAGATATAAAATATGTTCGATTAATTTTACTATGTACATATTAATATTTTTATTCTGGTAAATATTAATCAGAAAAATTGTTTCCTAAGAAGAGAAAATTCCCTCCTTGTACTTTAGACAATGCGACAGAATTTACAGAACAATTTATTTAGAGATAACAATCTTATATCATGTGCAAGTTTAACAAATATTTTCTAGAAATTAAGTTCCGTGAATTTTTCGTGCATATAAATTGTCTAAGGCGAGTTTTCAAAATTTATCGAATCACAAAAATAAATAAAACTTACAAAGATAGTCTAATATGCGTGTGTGCATACATAAACATGCACTAACGTGCAAAACTATGGAGCTTGTTCGGAAGATGATTACATTGAACTTATCATTTGATGGGGGAAAGACTTTCGACCTGTTCACTTTTTTTTCTTCGTGACCGAGTATAAGTACTTTGCCTTAAAAATAATCTTGTTCCAGCATCGCGCTTCCGTTCGATAATCTAATCCTTGAAAATCTCGGCCGTAAATCAGATCTCCATCCGAGGACGGATCGAATCGCACGAATTGCCCGATAAGTAAGAACGGTCGTAAAGATTTTCAGCGATGTTCGTCGCGCTTAATTATTACACTGCTAGTACAGCTAGACAAAGCGGATTTCATCCGGGAATCGTAATTAGAGCACATAACTGAGGGTATACAAAGCATAAAAGGCCAGGAATAATGGAGAGGATATGCCGTAGATAAATTAGAAGCTCATGTTTAGCCCTTAAAAGCGGGGTGTGTTACTCCGCTCTGTTTATATAAATTATACTTACATACACGCGTGTCTCTTGTTACGAATATCTACCATTATATTACTAGTATTTATGTAACAGGATGCAAGAACGAAAATCGAGAACATCCTCGATCAATCTTGCGTAGGGTCTCAAAATTCTCAGGTACTCGATCAGCTTCGTAGAAAATAAAAAAAAAAATTTGACAGCGTTAAATAAATATCCCGACGATATAGAACTTTATATAAATTAAACAGTAATAAAAATAATAGAATAATATATGTATAAATAATAATTTCTAGAACTCTCTTAACAACTCTGTCAAGCACAATACAATCATCAAACTAGGTTGTCGCTGCCTCTGACAGATGGGCAAATGGTAAATCGCCCTGCGAGAAACAGGTGAATTAAAAGGAACGAACGGAAATCTCTCTTTTGTAAAATTAAATCACTCCTTCGTATAATTTCGAATTCGATTACAGAGAAATCCGAGAAGAGAACCGAGGAGTTCGATTTCGCGAGAATGACGTTTACTCCTCCGTCGATTCGCCACCCTTTTATTCACCCACCCTATATCGATTGTGTACAGTGTTGTGCTTAGATGATTTGAAAATTAGTTGGATGAGATAAAAATATGTAAATTCATTTTGGATAAGATAATTTTGTTTTAAATATATCTAGATAAAAAATATAAAATTATATAGCGATTCATCTAGACTAGATAACTTCATTTGCCCCTCTTGGAATCAGTAAAAAAATTAAGCATTTGCTCTCCTTTTAAATAAACACTGAAATTTATTTGTATATATATATATATATAACATAAAAAAAATAAAAATTAAATTTAAAACAGAAAATAAATTTAAAAAATTAAGAAAGA